TATATATTGAGAAAGAGAGAGAGAGAGAGAGAGAGAGAAATACAATTTTTTGCTTATGTAGGCTGATATTTTTAGATCTAAAAAACATAATTTTGACAATATTCCTGTATTGTATTATTTTATGCCAAAAGCATTTAAGATCAAACTCTACTGGAAAAATAGGTTTAGCATCTTTTAAAAGGCATGGATAACAGCTATTCAGACCTTATGAGTCTGAGGTCAGATTTATAATTTTGCCTCACATTTGCTAGTGAGCACAAACCTTTACCTCCACACATTAAAACACCCCTTAAACGTTCTATATTAAAGTTAAGGCAAATGTGTACAAACCAAAGACCAGAATCAAGCCCAAAATGTTGCCGTATTTTCCACAGTTTTAATTCCTGATTGCTTGATTACATAGCTTGATTTAATTCAGTCAGTGTTAAAGAAGTTTAAGGCACTTTAACGGTTTGAATTAATTCATTAAAACGTAAAAAGAAGATAACATTAGACAGGTTTTTCTGCAGCTGATGTTAAGCAGCAACTCCATCATATAGCATCCATAGCTGACTTGGTATTTGATTGTTTCATTCAAATATTCAAAAAATTTCAAAACTCTAAATTATTGTTTTTGGTACCACTGAAGAATGATGAGCAGTCAGTGTTCATCTTGAATCCATAATGCAAAAATTCCACAACCCAAGTCAGAAATGTTTCGTTATGGACGATATCAACTCTCCGCTATGGAAATTTCAATATCCTCATTAAGACAATTACAGAATCAGCCTAGTGCGACATAAACGTGTTCGTGCTTTAATCTTCAACAGGCTCGACTGCTGTAAGCGTGTCTTTACAGGTCTCTCACACAGCTGCAGCCGATTCAGACCGCTGCTGCCAGAGTCCACACTGAAACCAAGAGAGTGGAATACATCAGTCTAGTTCTTAGATCTTTTCACTGGCTTTCTGTGCGTCAAATCTTCCAAACTGCTAGTTTATAAAGCGCTGAATGGTTTGGAGCCAAAATACACTTCTGATCTGCTGCTACGGTCTTAACCCGTCCAGACCTCTCAGCTGGTCTGGGTCACACGTCTGCTTACTGTCTCCAGCATTCGCTTTCCACGCACCACATATCTGGAGCAAACTCCCAGAAAGTGGGTCTACTCTTCTGTCTTTCTGTCTAAAGCACTTTGAATTACCTTGTTGTTGAAATGTGCTATACAAATAAACTTGCCTTGCCTTTCAAAGCATGGCTTAAAACTTTTCTGACGGGACTTTACTTTAGCCCCCTGTTCATCATTTAGAAGCAGTATTTAAACATTTAACATGTAAGCACACATAATTTTTACGTGTCTGTTGTCAACACTGAAGACTGCTAATGAATGACAATATAGCAAAAGACTATATTTATACTGTAGAAGTTGTCAATAGTGTCAATACAGTACTGTACATTAATAAACACATATCTTATATCTGTTTATTATTACACTATCTTTGTGTACCGCTAATTAAATTCAATGGAATCTCTTTCAAATAAAATCTTTATCCATACCTTACACTGCAGTGAAATGATTTAGCTTTTTTCAATTTTATTATTTCTTTCTATTGCCTTTAAGGCTCTGACATGTGTTAAGCACTTTGAATTGCCTTGTTGTTGAAACGTAGCAGGAACCTTTAGCAGATACAGTATTTGATATTTATTAAAAGGCCAGTATTATTGCATAGTCACAGTATCAAGGTAACCCTGGTGGGACCCTAACACTGTCCTAATCATGTCGATTAACCATCACTGGCATCAGAGAGCTCTCCTTTCATTTCACTGTTGTACATCCCTTTTTATTCCCCCCCATCCGCCTTTCATTTCACACGCCCACTAAATTAGCTTGGTGTGCAAGCTGTGCTAATGGCCTTTTATGTCCATATCAGAGGCACTTCAGCCTTGAAGACAAAAAGTCCCCAATTATCCCATAACACACATCAGCTGTAGAACACATATCACGCTGGAACATCACACTCTGTCTTTTTAAGTCACAATAGCAGCAGTGTTTATAGGCGATCACATTACCACTTATTTGTCTAATGGTTTTTGGATTTGTTTTGATGAGATAAAATGACTTGATGCTTTTAATGTGAAATTCATTTGTTTCTTTATACGGCGTGGGTATCATGTGCAGCGGTGCCTCAGCCGCAAACCCATTTTATCTGTGTAAAGAAGGTCCTTGATCATTCTTAATTACCATCTAAACTGGAAAAGGAAGTGCATTAATGGTCGGCTCTTCGTCAATGCAGCTAATTAACACCCAGGAGGTTTACATTCTCCTGAACAAATAAATTAATAAACCAAGATTTCAATGACCCTGGGAGAGGCTTTCTCAAATCAAAGTCTAATTTAAACAGTGCCTTATTCAAACAGGAAAAGGGCAGGGGTGTCCTGTCTGACAGCACAAAAGGCCACCGTGCAGCTTTACGGGCCGAGGACGACTTCATCGTGAGAAAACGTAAAAAGAAAATCAACAGTAGCTTCTTTTGTCCCTTTTAGCGCTTCACGAGTTTCGTCTTAAAAGGCCTGTGTGAGGACATCTCTTAAAGGCCACTGATTGTCCAATTGCTTGGTGAATCAAAACACCTTATTGTCCCGCTTTTATTATTTGACGGGTTATGGAAAGTTACTTACTTATTAAGTCCTTAACACAAGGACACCAAATAAGTAGAAAGTCAGAGTGTCAAGAGTGTTTCTTCACCGGTAAATTACTCAGTTTGGAGAAGGCAGCACTTTGACCTTTATGTAAAAAAAGAAGAAGAAGAAGAAGAAGAAGAAGATTTTCTGAGGGGGGTGCGGGTAGCATGGAGGAATCTGGTCTTGACCTCAGTATTGTCTAAGTCAATTGTTGTCAATTGTTAAGGCCATTTCCAAGGTATAATCATCTAGTCCTTACCTTTGACAATAATTTCATGTTTCTGCTTGGCTTGGATGTTAGGAATTTAAAATGTTAGGAATTTAAAATGGCAGATAATAAAGTTTAACACTTGGTGGAAATTGAAAAGAAAATATCCAAATAAGAGTAAAAAATGGAAGGCTTTCTTTTGGATGTCTGGCCAAACCTTTCTGAGGCGATGGACAGGTTTACTGGGGGACTTATGACCTCAGTGTTTCAAAAACAAAATTCTAACTACAGCCCTGTCCTAAAGCATCACTTTCTTTGGTTTGAATTTTTTTTTTAAATGTGTTTTAAATGTTCCTACATTTTTACACATTTATTGAAGTCTGGCTGTACACTCTTTAAAGATAAAGAAATAACTTCCCCACCCTTTATATTATTTTCACATACAACATCAACAAGTTTAACATCTTGATTGCCCAGAAATGATCTCATCTCACTGCTGTATTATTATTATTGACATTAAAAGTTGAAAGGATAAGATGATTATTCAACAAGTGCACTGCCAAAAAACTCCATGGCAGCAATTAATCGTTTTAAATACTTTTTCATGCAAAATTGTCTTGCAATTTGCTGGTTCCTCCTACATGCGGAAATTATGAGCTTTCTCTGACCAAATCACTAGTTATTTGAATTTATTTGGATTTTGGACTATTTCTTGGACAAAAGCGATTTAAAGATGCCACTTTTCACTCCTGGAACTTCTGATGGCCGTTTGTCTCTATTTTCTGACACAAATGTTGCTATCAGAGACCTCTTCATCAGAGCCTGAACTGGAGTGGAGGCAGCTCAGGTTAAAGGTGGCAGCTGTCATTTTTGCGCTTTCACTGATAAGAGCCTCTTTTGACTGAGTGCCCTTGAGCAAACACTTCCTGAAGAATAACAGCTGGATGCTGGTCGTTATCAGATGAGCACAAATCACAGAGCAGCAGTAGGGTGAAAAACAAACACTGACAAGTGCCCAGTTAGTGGACGAAAATGACCCAGATCTGAAGATGACCAGACATATTTTACAATTTAGGGGTAGCTGGGTAACTACATTAGTCATTTATATAATTACAGAAATCATTTTATTTTCACATCATGTCATAAATATTTAGTTGCCCTACAAAGCTTTTACCACCATGCATTTTTGGGGCTATTTTTATAATATTAATTATTATTATTTTATCCTGTCCTTTAATGCCTTATGGTCACCATTTTATTAGAGTGTCTTCCAAATGTTATTTTGATTAGATATTTAGGCTATTTCTCCTTCTACTTTTTGCAAAAAGAAGAAATCAGTTCTAAAATTCCTGGAATGCAGCTGCCATTATAACACCCACTTAGTCTCCTGGACAAAAACTAGCAGCAGTCCATCTATCAACCTTGCCCAGTTAAAAACGCAAGAGGTTGACATGTTCCGATAGCAACCCCGCTAATCTTGTTGAAAAGTCCGCGGGGTCATTTGTCTAAATCAGTGTCAGAGAGCGCAGGTCGCGGCTCGTCAGGCCGCCCCTCCTGTCATGTGCGGCCGGAGAGGAGGTGTGGAAACGCCGCCTGTGTTTACTCTCTGCATTCCTCCAGCCTGCTGCTCTCTGAACTGAACTGATCTGAGACAAGCCATACATCAGCAGGTCGGAGATGCTTCCACTGCTGAGAATTTATGAGGGCGCACAGTAGGAGTGAAATATGGCGTTTGGGAGAAGGTTCCGGATGAGTTTTCTGCTGAATCTAACATCAAAACAAACTTGTTTTTATCAGACAAGTACCAGGAAATTACACTTTATCATGTCACTGAGCTGCTCCAAAAATGTTCTCCCTGTGTGTTTACTAAGAATGAGCCTGCTACTCCCATGATATTTCTATGAAGCGCCCTGTTTTCCTGCAACTCTCAAAGAACAGTTCCCTAATTTCTCTCATTTTAATTGAGCAAAATAAGACACTAGTTCTTCAGTAATTATCAGACCTGGAGGCCGTTTATGGCAGTTTGTTGTGAATCATGTCATGGACTCAGCTTGCACTGGCTCATCCTCACAGCTCTGAGTGAGGCAATAATCACAACAGCAACAATATTAACAGGTGATGAGAAGTTGGACCTACAGTGTGCGCTCCGGCGGTGCTGCCACTCTCTGTGCGCCAGTCCGCTGATGCAGGCTTTCAGAGCCTTCTCCTGCAGCATGCAGGAGGACGGGCTGGACGTGTAGAAATCCAGCATCTGCCCGGGACTCACGGCCAGCACGTCCATGCAGTCAAACATGATGACGGCGCGTCGTTCAACTAGTCTTGTGCGTTATGGATAAAAATCACCGGCATGAGCGCACACAACTCCATCAAACTCCGATGTACCCCCCCCCCCCCCCTCCTCCTCCTCCTCCTCCTCCTCCCCCTTCTCTTCTTCTTGGCACGACAGATTTCGCTTCTCTTCTTCTCCGCAGTCCCGCACCGGAATCATGAATTATTTCGGACCAAAATGCCCCACTGATTCTTCTAAATGCTCATTTGCCATTTTCTCGCACCGTGTCCAGTCAGCGCGCTGCCATGGACGTCTGAACGGGACTCCTCCATAATAATAACAATATCCCGACGTGTTTTGTCTGAATTACCCCGTCCCGGTTACCGACACCAAAGCCCGCCTGAACTGGAGGATCTTTCTTCTTTCTATTATCAAAAATCAGACGAACGGCGTTTAAAAGCACATGTTCTCCTCTCCGATGACGAATGGGTTATCCGTCCCCCCGTGCCGCTCATTTCCAACTAGTTTTGCCAGAGAGAATGAAAGATTGAATAGCCTAATATATGCGAGTGAACTTTGTATGAACCCTTCCGAGGCTGCTGACCTTCAAATGACCCAGGCAGGCTGACATCACTGCAGCTCCGCAGCGCGGAACAAGGCGGAGAGAAGAAACGCAGGAGGAAAAATAATAAAGATCTTTTTTTTTTCTTCTTGGAAAGAACAAAATACACCACGGTGCCCAAAATTTGAAACGAGCTTTTTTATTTTACGTTAAGTATTACTACAGCTGTAACTGCCTGCGCTCTGAAGGGTGCTGCTTTTACGCACAGGGACAGTAAAAAGCCCCAGTCCCACACAGATAAATAGACATGTACTGGCGCAATTGGATTGATTTATGTATTCCTGAAATAGCAATACTTTACTTACAGTAAAGAAAGAAAGGAAAGGCTGTATGTAATCTAATTCACCACATTTATTGACATTTCTGGAGTTTCCTTTCTGGATTTTGCTCTTCATTAAAACAACACCTGTCTTGACAAAAGTGACATGGTCAAAATGTACAAGTTTTTTTTACAAGACTTGAACTAAACTAAACTTGATGTTGACCTCCCTGCTTGGTTGTTGTTGTCTATTGCAGTAAAAAAATACACACACAAAATCAGGTTTTTATCAGCCTATCATGTCTTACAAAACAACCTGCAAGAAAAATAAGTTAACTACTTATGTTATATACATTTATTTATTTATCTTATTGTTTTTACAATACCAATATAGTAATGATGAAAACTAGGGAAAGAGTAAAAATGCATGATTGCTGTAGGCACTGGCAAGATTTCTGGATGCTTTTCTAGCAATATGAAACCTAGAATTATAGAATGGGACTCTATGGGGGCTTTAAAGCACTTCTGCATTATGATGCATTACACTATATAGCTCATAAACTATATATGTGATTAAAATAAGCTTATTCACATTTGTTAATATACCGTGAGCTGTAGTATGCATTCTGAAATTTGAACAGAAGAGTTTTCTCTGGCTTTTTTGTTTTCAGCTAAGGAAGTGCAATGATTAATGACTGCCATGTTATTATGTGGTCAAGTGTGATCAATTATGAGGTCAAAGAAGTGTCATTTTAAAGGAAATATTTCTGAATGTTGTAATGATGGGAACTTTATATATTGACATTTTTTACATTTCCTTTTCAGCTTTTCGTCTAACTCCAAAGTATGAACCATTTGTATGTAGGCTAAATGTGGACATACATGTATGTATTTATTCTTTCAATTTACAAGACAATAATAGCAAACACTGAATGCATTTCCAAGATGCTGTAAGCACTGACGCTAATTGGCATGATATTTGGATGATGTTAAACTCATTGTATTGGCTGAGTTTTAGATGCAATGTGAGTGAATGGAGCTTTAAGCCACTGGTGCATTAGACTTAAATGCATTGGCATCTATAACTTATAAACTCTACAGGGCATTACAATGAGCAGATTCAAGGTTTAATGGAAGTGAATGAATGCAGCTTGTATTTGATACAGATGTCACAGATGCTGAGTTAAAATTATTATAAGCAAAACACCATGAGAAAAAAAGATGTATGTGCTGGCTGTAAACTTAACTTATACTTAATGCTATAATGCTTAACTTATATACTTAACTTAATAATGAATTTAGGAAATGGATTTGTGATTATTAAGCACTGTAAAAAAAACTTTACAGTGTTATCTGCAAATGATGCATTATAGTGCACTTTAAGTATGGAGTAATACTTTACTAATTAATTACTAATTTAAATTTTCTCCAGCACTATACAGTATAGTTTTGAGGTACCTTAGTATGTCCTTTTTCTGCTATTTTTAATTTCAACTCCTGGGTTGTGGCCAGGATTAAAGAAAAACTGATGTCATGCAGCAGGATCATGACTCATTTGTCTGGTTAAGGTTTTTTGTGCATGGTTTAATAAAAATGACAAACCAGAAGGCGTTTAAACAACATTCATTTCCAGACACGTTTCTTTTTAAAATTGTACACACAAACTTGGTTATATCATTGTTACATAAGGCCACATACACCACACAGTAGGATCCCAGCACGAGTCCTGAATTTCAAAACAAAGGTTGATGGTCACTGATCATTTTCCTGCTAGACAGTTTCAGCATCTGATTTTGTTAATAATAATAATAATAGCAATAATAATAATACATTTTATTTATAGAGCACTTTCAGGGTACTCAAAAAATACAAGTTAAAATGATAATAGAAAATAACACACAACATTAATCACAGTTACTGTGAGGTGGTGGAGCAGGTTGGTGAGGTAGGAGGGGTCCTGGTTATGGGGGGCTCTGTGAGTGAGGAGAAGGACTTTGAATGGGATATGATGTGGGACAGGGAGGCCAGTGGAGGATCTGGAGGATAGGTGTCATGGGAGAGGGAGTGGGTGAGCAGGCAAGTAGCAAAGTTCTGGATATACTGGAGTTTATTCAGGACTTTGAACGATGCTGGTGCCTTTAAAAAAAGCTGTTGCAGTAGTCAGATCTGGTTGGGAGGATAAAAGTTTCAGCAGCAGTTGCGTGGAAGGAATTACAGTGGTTATGGAGATGTAGAGCTGGACGTGATCGGCATAGCAGTGGATGTGAAGACCATAACGGCATATGAAGGGTGAGCATGTAGAGCAGGGGTATTCAGTTAAAACTCAAAGAGGTCCAGTTAGAGAAAATGCAAAGGTCCGGAACATCAACTTGCGTTATCATTCAGTAGCCTACCATAACCTATAGCCTAGTTGTATCAACATATGTTTTTAATCAACAACTGACTTTCAAAACAGATACTATTTCAACAATATTACTGTAATACTGTCAGTTTTCACATAAAACTAAAGGGATAATAAATAACAACTTCTCTAATAATAAATTCTAAATTTAATCTAATCTAAAGGCTGCATTTAAAAAAAGTTTTTGTAAATGTGCATTTTAAATTAATTTTATTTGCTACTCAATTTCAGAAAAAAATAAATAAAAACTGTAGCTTTTAGTGACTGAAGTTCAGTCTCAACCAGTTTTATAATTAACACTCAACACATCTTAACAAATGAACAGCTGTAATGCCTCCTCTTCTCTTTCATTCCCTCTTATATAGCTAGCACTTCCCTACTTTCTCTTGTTCAGTGAGAAATGTGAGCTCTAGCTAGGATTGGAGATATATGAGATATTCCGGTTTTGAACTGCCCGTGGGAAGAATGTACATGTGAGAATCTGTACATTCTTGGTTAAAAGCCATGTGTAGTCTCTTTTCTCTTTCGTCTCCTCTCTTCCTCTGTGTATCTCACCGGCGGACTCGACTCGCAATGCTCAGGGCCGTTAACATTGCACAGATTTGACTGGCTGAGCAAAATCACATGAAACGATTAGAGCACATTGGTCTGTGAGTTTCCTGTGCCGCTAAACCTGGACACTAAATGCTAGAAAAGCTGTGTGGGTTAAAATAAAAACGCTCTGTCACGAGGTAGTAATTCTCAATAATAGATTGGCTATACGTCCGGGTCCGGACAATACAGCCACTGGGTCCGGATCCGAACCCTGAGGGATGCCTCAGGACACAGGAGCGGTGGAGGTAGCGCAGTTGTTGATGCTGGTGAAGTGTTGTCTGTTTGTGAGATATGACCTGAGCCAGGAGAGGGAAGTACCTGGATTTAAGGTGGGAGTGAAGACTGGTGTGGTTGATGGTGAAGAAAGCTGCAGTAGGAGGATGAGAATGCTGAGAATGCTTGCTACTTTCAGCCTATGCCTAGTTTTTGTGGGTTGTGTTCGTCTGGCTTCATCGTGTTTTCACTTCTTTGACGACGAAGATTCACGCTCGGTCGGCTTGTGCTAAATAATGCATGTAGTCCTCCATTTGTCCAAATTTCACTTCAATTCTTACTTCTAATGTGTATGTTATTATTATTTCCTATTTTTCTTTTCATACGCATTCAACATAGTCACAAGTATCTACACTGCCGAAATTATACAAGAAGAAGAAGAACAACATAGTCGGGGGTGATGCAACTTATCACAAACTGAACTGCAGTCAGCATCCTGTTGGTCGTGCTTGCACTCCATAGGCATGAGTGAGCATCATTCTGGGCATCTGCCAAAACAGTGATGTCACATATGTGAGACTGAATACTGAAATAAACACTGGATGCTGGAAAATGAATTACAATCATGTATAGAATAACATTACTCTTCGTAATTTTCCTATATTTCATTTGGACCATTGGCTCCATGATATTGATACTGGCTTGCCATTTGCAAATCACCCAATCATCCAATGTGACGAAGCAACCAACGCCAGACCCATGCCACACAGCCAAGCCACAGCAGCAGGCCAAACCCAGCTTAGTTTAGGTTAGCTAGTTGGCTGCCCCTGCCTTGTATAGCTCTTGGCTGGTAAAAAACAAAGCCCCAGCAGCCCCTTTTAGAAATATCATAATATATACTCATCAATGTCAGAAAAGGAAGCACAGAGATTGGATTAAGTGCAGCATTTTCAAAGCACCTAGCCAGCTGAGCCGGACCAAACACCACGGAAAGAAGTGC